AAACTGGTGGGGACCTACATGTATATTAGATGCCAAGCTTTCCATTTCAATGCTACAACCTATTTGGCAAACACAACAACTAAGCCTGATGTATTTGGCAAATAATTCAATCTCTACAAAAATCATTTCATCATACTATTTACCATTTACCATACTGGTTCTGTTACAAAAATTAAGTGAAGTAAACTAAAGTTTTAGTTTGGTTCACTTTAATAATTCATCTTTCATCAAAACAAAATAGGGACTATATACAAATTTAATCCCAAAACATCAAAATACAATGTTTCATTAAAAATATAATGTTTCATTAAAATATGGCTATATCTTGGGCACCTACATCCCAAAACCATTCTTGCCCCACTCTTGCAAACAAGTGAAGCACATAAGTACATAAAGATGAATATGCAAACCCAAACAAAAAATTAATTAAGTCAGACCTACACAATCTTGCTGCCGCAGCCAATGACATGACGGGATAGGAAGAATAATCTCTAAGTGGTCTTACTCTTTTTGAGAAATAAAAATTAAGTTTAGGTTAACATAAAGTAATTGTAGATATTGAATTGCACTAAAAATATAATCAATGGAACATACTTTGACCATTTCTTCACTCCGTTCAAAGATCAACACCAGTCACATCCATATAAAAGCATTTCCACCGTGTCGGGAGACAAAAAAGCTCGATAAGTGTCGATAACCCTACTCCAGACACTGAATGTAGATTCTAAAGCAACCATAGTGATCGGGATAGCTAGTATCTTACAAGCCATCGTAGACAATATAGGGTACTTCGTTGAATTTGCCTTCCACCATTGTATAGCATCAAATGCATCACGATGCCCCACGCAATGACACTCTTCTCCCAAATAATAGTCTGACTCAAACTTACTTGGCTCAACGGTCTCAGTCACGTCCAGAAAATTGCTAAAATCATCCCAACTTGCAGCTCCCCCAGCCATTGCCTCCTCACCGACTCCAACTCCATCCCCTACTAATTGAGGCTCACGGGCAATAGTACAAGCATTATTAGCCTCAACGTACTACACATATAGCTCATATAATGCATCCCGAACAGTTATAGTATTTGCCTAGGCTTCTAACTTAGAATACATCTTGGGGAATGCCTACTGAATTACCCTCCTTAACAACCGAGGATCCAATATAGCAGCCACTGACATCAGCTTCATCTTCCTTATAATAAACTCATCTCCTTCTTCACTCTTACTATCCAATATCATTTTCACTAGACACACCTCCTTTAGAAATAAATTAGATGTCAGATAATCACTCCGTGAAATGAGATTGGTTGTACCACTAAAAACCTTTAAAATGTCACACACTTTCTCCCAATCCTCGTCCTACGGACAATAATGATAACTTGTATCCTCTTCTTTCAATCTGGGAAAATCTTTGTTGAACTTAATTGTCGTTGCCAACAATTCATACGTTGAATTCTATCTTGTTTTACAATGTAGAATAAGCTTCCGAACTGACAATTTAAGTTGTTGAACAATCTTGGAAAAAACCTTAATCCTACTCTCTGAAGCATTGATATATAGGACGTTGTCATGGATATCGTCAATGATATGCCTAATCTGATAAAATCCATCTTGAATAATGAGGTTCAAGATGTGGGCACAACATCTTACATGAAACAATTTACCTCCACAAATCAGATTCCCCGTAACTTCAAAATTTCCCTTAGAGCTCTGATTGCAACATCATTACTTAAAGTGTTAGGAGCTTGGAAATTGAATTAACAATCGTAACACCGGTACGGGGAGGAGGTAAATGAACAAAGTTCAGGACACGTCTATTCATCCTCCAATTACCATCTATCCAATTCCCAATGAGCACCATATACTCCATCTTCTGATTGCCGGAATTCCTTAAATCTGTAGTCAAACTAATCTTTGTCATATTCTTTAACAACATCTTCAACTTCACTTTCTCACTTTCATATACCTTCATACAATCATTGTGACAAGTATGCTGGGAAATCAAACTCCATTCAGGAATCTCATACTTCATCATGTTGTTCAAGCCCTCTTCCTCCACAACTGAAAATGGATGCTCATACATAAGCACCCAATAGGTGATAAGTTCTCTCATCTTCATCATGTCAAACTTTCCACTTAAAGCAAGCAAAATAGAAGTTCCAACATTAGAACCGACAACGGAAAAAGTAATATGTTGTTGCCCCATGGAAGCTATTCTCTTTTAACACTGTTTTAAATGTCTATTAAACTGGGTGGTGCTTCTGGTGGCATTAATACACAGTTTGGCTTTGCAATGGATACACTCTGCCTTTTTTGTATCATTCGGGAGAACCAACTCTTTAAACTTTGTCCAAACCACTGATGTCTTAGCTCTCTTTCTCTGTCATTCTCCCCACAATTATTTGGGCTACTAACATTGTGTTCCATATTTGTAGTGGTCTCATTCAAGTTACGCTTATTGCCCGATGTAATTGTAATTCTATCATGCTCCGTAGGGGTGCTTGAGGTACTGCCATCCATTTTCAAACTTATAATAGAAAATAAAAACAAAGGTGTTAGCTTTTCTTATTGATATATATTTGAAGTTTTAGAAATCAAGGAACATTATAGTTATTTGATGATAAACACCCATTTCTGTTAATCCGTATCTCAACTTGCAGAAAATAAAGCTATCTATCTAGTTAATGCAATTATCGTATAAAGAGCAAGGTTCAAGTTTTTGCAACTTTAAGAAAGCTTTTCATGTTTCTTTACTCTGTAAACTGCAGTTTAAACTTCTCAAGTTCCATATTTTCACTGCAAAATTTCAAACTTCAGTTAATATTTGCAGAATACTAATTCTAGTTAGAATTGTTTCCAAATTATTAAGTACCATAAGTCCATGACCATAATTCTGAGCTTACTAAACTACTATGAGCATAAATTTAGTTTCTTGTCAAAATACTAGCTAATATTGATGCAAAATGCTAATGAACCAGAAATTTTTTGACACTTATTAATTAACTCAATTTTTTTGGAACTAATCATATATAATAACACATTTCAATAATCCTCAACCCACCCAAAGGCCAAAAGCAACAGCACAAACAGATTCATACTAGCATTTATAATAACATAGTTCAATTAAATCAACGTATGTACTCATATGAAAAGAGAACAATACTAGCAAAATATTAGGAAAAACAAAGAACAAGAGTGGGCCAAAATAATACCTTTGTGTGATGGTGAGAAGGATGACGAGAACAATGGGCAACTCGACAACATAAACAAAATAAGATGGCGACAAAGAGAATAAGAGGGGGACAATGATGGTGAAACGACAGCGATGACAGTAACAGTGGACAGCGACAACCGTGGGCGACGACATGGTGGTGGATTGGGATTTGGGAAGTTGGGTGATTTTGCCTTTTCAAATTTTAGGGATTTACTTCAATTGGGGTAAGAATTGTGTTTTCACAAAATTTTACAATGGGAGGAATTTGTCATTTTTTCAAATACTAAGTACTACAAATTATTGTTTAACCCCAATAGTTTGAAAAATCCTTGGTGTAACCCTTTTTTTGGAGCCAGATTCTGCTCGTGATTGGTTCGAGCCGAGCTTACCACTGATCAAACTCAGCTTGCAACTCATTCACGAATCGAGCTGAGCCAACTCGATTCAAACAGAGCCGAGCCCTTGACGAGCCTTATTCAAGCTGAGTCGAGCCAGCTCGCAAGTCGCTCAATTCGTTTACCAATCCTACCCATGAATATACCATGCACACCCATTTTATAAATACAGTTAAACTTTGACAAATTAATAACTTCGATTAAATAATATTTTTGGTCCATCCCAACTTAGGACTAGTGTGGTAAATTAATAATTCACTAAATTTATAAGATAATATATTAAAAAAAAAAAAAAAACACACACACACACACACACACATAGATACCACTTGATATATATAAATTAATAATCTTCTTGTGTATCAAAATTATATAGATACATGACTGAATTAGGAGGCCTTGGAGCTATTCCCTATATCACATTAACTCCTAACTTATAGCTAGGTTGATGATGTTATTTTGAATAATTATTCCTTATACTACATTAACAATACACAATATGTACATGTATTAAGTTTAATGTTTTGGAAAAAGAAAATAAATAATGCCTCGATAAATTAATAATTCAATTAAATAATATATCGATTAATTAATAAATTTTCAAAGTCCTAAAGATATTAATTTATTGAGGTCTAACTGTATATTTTTATCAATAATAATGTTTTTTATTTGTGCATTTTAAGTCACTGGACATTAATTTCTAATGAAATGTGATGTATTTTTGGAGTTGGAAATTTGGAATCATATTATTGTGGAGCAATGCTAGTTTTACAAAGACACATACAAAGGAGACATACAAAGACAATTCTCACCCTTGATTTTCATGATTTCTCTCTCTCTCTCTCTCTCTCTTTTTGTTTTTTCTTTGTTTTTTTCTTCTTGCTGATGTTACTTTGTAGCCCTTTTTATATGGGTCTTTGTAAGGATATCATTTTCCATTATTGTTGCCCATCATTTTAATTCCTACCTTTACCACTGTATGGTAAAAGGGATGATTATTCTTAATTTCATCATTTTACTATCTCTTATTATACTAATGAAAGTCACAATTCAGGATATTTAAAAAAAAATTACAGTCTGTACCATCATTAATTATTTGAATTATTATAAATCTTAATTAATTTTTTTTTCTGTTCTAAAGCAGGAAAAAAAAAAACAATGGAAGAAAAAAAAAACAAATTTGATGCCATAATTTAAAGTTGTAAATATAAGATACTTTATATATGACAAAGAGTACAATTGATAATTTTAATTCATAACAAAATTATTTTCTCACCCCTTCCACAAACTTTTTCTTAAATAAAAATAAAGACATAAATAAACATATTGGAACAAAATAAATTAAAACAAACAAACTAAAGCGACTGGAAAGTAGATCAATTATAAGAGCCTCTAAGCAATATTAACACTGTGAAGGACCACAGTTTCAATAGTAAGCCCAGGACCAAAACCGAAAAGCACTCCCCACTCAAATCCTTCTCCTGTGGTCTTTAGTCCATCAGCAATTGACCTTTTCCTCGTCTCATCCAAGATAAACAATACAGTTACACATGACATGTTACCATATTCAGCAAGGACATGCCTACTCGCACGTAGTTTCTCAGGCTTAAGACCCAATTTGGCCTCAACTTGGTCTAGAATTGCACGCCCACCAGGATGTGTAGCCCAAAAGATTGAGTTCCAATCCGAGATACCTAAAGGGTGAAATACCTCAACCAGTCTATTCTCAATGTGGTTTGCGATAAGATCAGGAACTTCCTTGCCAATATGAATTGTAAGACCATATTCACGAATACTTCCACAAATAGCATTGGGGATATCCGGCACTAATGTTGGTGCTGAAGCGACTAATTCAAATATGGGATTTTCAACACCAGGCATTGGATCTGAACCAACTATGACAGCAGCTGCACCATCACCGAACAAAGAATGACACACAAGAACATCACAATCAGTCTCATTAGGGCCACGAAAACCAACTAAAGTTGTCTCAGAGCAGACAACAAGGACACGTGCACCCTTAGTGTTCTCAGCTAGGTCTTTGGCAATGCGAAGCACAGTTCCACCCGCATTACAACCTTGTTGATACAACATTAGTCGCTTAACGGATAGATCAAGACCCAAGAGCTTGACGATTCGGTAGTCAATCCCTGGCATGCTTGGACCCATAGTGGTACAACATATTAAGTGAGTGATTTTGGACTTGGACTGACCCCATTCATTGATGGCCTTGTTTGCGGCTTCCTTACCTAACTCTGATATTAATACTTCTGCCATATCTTGCCTTGTATCTAATGAAGGTGCCTTGTATGCACGCATATTTGGATTTTCTGTCATAATCTCATCTGTTATGTGCGAATGTCGCTTCTTAATCATTGTTCTGTCACCTGAAATGATTAGATATGAGTACTTCATTATTTCATTTTGTCTAGATGTCTTTTGATATTCATAACATAAAGAGATATGTAGAAAATAAAACAACTTTTAAGCATATATCCAAGGGCCACAATATCTTTTACATGACAATTAAAAGAACTATTTGTAAACAATATCAAATGTGTCCTAGCTAGAGTCTGTTCAATATCTCAAAGTAGGTTTGAGAATGCGGGATGTAATAAAAAGAGAGTAATTAGATCATCAACACGTAGAAAATATTAGCGAAGTAACAAAACTCAAGAAATAAACATTTCTTACACATGCGCTGCATTTTATTTTTAACCTCCGTCATGTGCTCGCTATTAGTCCAACGAGCATAAATTTCTGCATACTGGCTTTGATCATAAAAATTTGGAGGATTTGCTGTGCCGATTGCCATAATGGTGGCAGTGCCTTCAGCACGTTGAGCCTTACGAACATCATCAACAGTAACCATTTTGGCTCAAATGCAACTATTCTTCAGCTTCTATTTTATGTTCTGTCTGTAGTGGTTTTCGTTTTGAATAGTACTCTATCCTATATATACACATAAATTAGCCATTTTTAAAATAATATGCGAGTACCATGATGTTGTTTAATAATATGGGAGTTCCATGATGTTGTTTAATAATGCTAGCTAGCTGGATATATAAAATAATTTCAATGAGGAGATCCCTAGCTAGCTGTATAATTTCTATAATCTTTAGATCAATTCCATCATTCAACCCTGAAGGCAAAATTAATGAGAAAAATTGCTTAAAAAGGAATCACTTCTTGCGACAATTTATTGGGATCATGCGATAAAAGAAATTAATTCAACTTATTCCTGCTTATGTTCTTAATCATCAAGGACCATGAACCGAGGTCTGAGGATCACGTTGCAGCTACTTCTGTGATTTTTTTTTTTTTTTTTTTTTTTTTGGAATTTTATTCCTACCGCTTGTAATTGATTGAAGAGAGAAGCGGTTTTAGTCCCATGTCATTACATTATGCCTTTCATCTCATGTCCATCACAAAAAGTCTTTGATTTCAATTTAATGTATAAAGATTATTTTCTGCATATTTGTGTATATCTAATATTTAATTAAACATGTAGACAACGTATCAAATGGGATGATTTGTATCTTCTTCGTATCTAAATTAAGAAAAAATTATATTTGTTGATGAGTGATTTTGACACTAACGACTTCGCACGTGCAAAATGTTAAAAGATCACACACGTGATGATTATAGTAAATGAGTAAGCTATTGTTTTCACAATAGCATGCAAATTTGTAAATAATAAAGGAGACGGTAAGGTTTTTATAGCGGTTCAGATGCTTAAAACAAATCTTACATCCACTATTTCTTTTATATAGAGATGTTCCTGGTCATTAGCCAAGATTACAAGAGGTCACGAACTGCGATCTGGTATTACAAGTGTTTGGTGTTCTAAGTATTCTTAGAAAATGTCAAGCTAGTCTCATTCTAATAGTGTGTCTTTACTATTTTCTCTGTTGAATTCAAGAGTGTCTGATCTCAATTTTGTAAGGAGGAGCTGCCTATTTATAGCCGCTGTGCTCAAGGTAATGATTATATTTTTGCAAGTGGGTTGGTGCCGTGCAAATCTCTCCTACCTTCCATTCATTGAGAACTCAATGAATATTCTTAAATTAAATAAGGCTTGAATAGGTGTACAAACTAAATTCATTTACAGACAAAACTTGAGTCAGTTGGGTTTTGACAGTTATATTCTTTGTCTTTGGAGATGTGGCAAATTCTAGATGATGAGAAGTCTTCCTAAATTCTGATTGCTGCTCGCTAACATCAGCATAGGTTAGCCCTTATTTTAGGCTCCAGATCTGGCCACATCTAGCCATCAACAACAGCCAAAGATATGGCCGTTGTTGATGACCAGATCTCGCCAAAGATCTGGCCGTCAACAGCTAGATCTGTCTATCAACAACCAGATCTTTGGTTATAGATAAGGTCATATCTATGATGGATCTAACCGAAAAAGGTCAGATCGACTCATTATCGGCCAGATCCAGTTGGTAGTACGTCATTATGCCAGATTTCGGCCACCTTTCGATAATGATGACTGGAATCTGACAAATGTGGATAAGTAGAGGTGTTTTTGTCAATTTATAAACTTTTTATTGTTGGGGGTGTTTAACTAAATTAACAAACCTACAAGGGTTTAAAAATAGTTGAATATTATAAGATTGGATTTTAAAAATAGGAAAACAAATATATATTTTAGATAGAATATGAATAAGATAGTTAAAAAAAAACAGGCGTTTATAAAAGAAGCAGCAACAACATAACAAAAAATATCCCACCGATTTCGGGCTTCATGCATGCTCAGATGTTCTCCCAGTTTTTTTTTGTTTTTCTTAAAGTTTTGTGCCAATGATTATAACTAGGTCAAATCTCTAGAAAATTAATGTTCTTTTTTATATTCTTTATGGGATATGTACCTTCCACATCCTTGAACCAAAGCAATCCCGAGCATCCAGTCCAAGGTTGCTTGATTAAATCTTTGCTCCATTCATAATGCGTGTGAAGAGAAGGCCGTCCAAATGGAATCCCTCTTTCATATCCCAGTAAGAGCTACGGCCTGCTCTGATTCTAAGGTGGCTTCTTTGAGCCCAGCCCGAAGGCTCTCATCCTGACTACGGGCTTTGCCACTTGCTATGTTAGCCCAGCTAGCGCCGGCTGGGATTTTCCGAGATGATGCCACCCTGTCATCCTATAAATGGTAAAATCATTTTATGCTTTCAAAGTAAAAGAATTATTGAATTTTGGTTGAACTAGAATCAAGATTAAGAAACCAAAATCCAATCAAAGGCCAAGCAATAACATATTGCAACTGAAAAGCAATTTGTTTCAATAAACCCTCAGTATCTCATAATGGGTTTTAACTACAGTCACTAGGTGAAAAAATTAAGCAAAAATATGTATATCTCATAATGGGTTTTAACTACAATCACTAGGTGAAAAAATTAAGCAAAAAAATTTGTATCTCGCAAATCTTTATCCACCATTTATCAATGACTTGGAGAGATATCCACTACTTCTCTTCCCATCCCATCTCCACAAGCACTGTAATTCACTAGTCTCTCCCACCCTGGTCTATACTCCAACATCTCCCGCCAGTATAATTTTATCATCTTCTGCAAGTGAGATTCTTTTCACAAAGAACTATCTTGAAATAGGTTTAAGGGAGAAAAAGTCTTTTGTATATTTTATTGCAATATAATAAGCTAATAAAAATATGTCAATACGAGTGAAACATATTTGTTTTCTCAATTCTCATAATGCACATCAGTATTTTTCTTGACTATAAGAAGCATAAGATTATAGGAAACAAAAATGAAACTATTGGAACTAACAAAAATGAAAAACAAGAAAAAAGAAGTAAAATACAGTTTTTTCTTACTCATTCGTCATTTGGTGGCTATTGTTCCAATGAAAACAAACGTCTGGAGATTTACTCTGATCATTAAAAGTCGAAGGACTAGATGTTCCACTTCTCATATGAAGGTGAAAGCACTTTGAGCCTTTCGAACATCATCAACATTAACCGCTTTTGCGTAATGCAACTATTGAATTTTTGTTTTGATCTCCGTTCTTTGAGTCTTGATTTTTGTTTTGATAGCTCTTACGTATGTATGTATATATATACGGATATATTAGCCCTTAAAAATTCATTCACGTATCATGATGTCTTTTTGTTATTGTTTCTGGGAAACATCATGGAAAATGTACCCCATTATAAATATAGTTGGGAATGTTGGTTGGATCCTTCAAATTTATTTTAGTTGGGCCAGAATTATTTAAATAATTGAAAAATCTTCGTTGAGGTTTTTAAAATCGTCATAAATATTATTATACTGTTTTTAATTTCAAAAAATAACTCCTCCAAGATCCTATCAGATTTAGAAAAGACTAGTCAACTTTTTCTCCGAAAATCTATACCTGTAACTAGGTCAAATAATATGTTGTTTAGGCTTCTAAATAATATCAGTTCATAGTTTATAGCTTCCAAGGTCATGATTTTCTCGTGCATCAATGAAAAGTTAGAAACTAAAGTAAAACTTCTCCATAGTTATATAGTTATAATAGTGGGATTAACTAATTTTATCATTATAAGAAGGTTATAACTTAATAGAAGTATAGTTAAAAAAATTTCTTATTTCATAATTCATGTTTTAGTAGTACAATATTAGGATTTTAATTCATATTTTAATAATATTAGAGTTTCAATTCAGCGTTTCAATTGCCTACTTTTGAAACAGATAAAATATCGTGTTTTGAAACCAACAAAGATAAATATCTTTGATGGAATTGTAGAGGCAATTGTTGTATGACAATTGATGTGAAGCCACAGAGAATTGTCAATTGTTTTAAGCATTACAAAATTAAGACCTCTGATGTCGATGAATTGCAAGTTACAAATGAAGTGAATGATAAGAATCAAATAGTCATTGTAGAATTGAGTGATCAGATTCGACAACTTTACTACACTAATCGAATGAATATTAATGTCTTCCTTAATTATTCAAATGAGTAACAAGTCATGTATGCTTTAACAAAAGAAGAAATCATTTTTACAATTAAACAAGAGGAAAAAGAAAATAATTATGGGGATGATAGTATGAAAATACAAAAAGTTTCATGTCAAGAAACTCTAAACATGCTTGAGAAGCTATAAATGTTTTGGCTTTAACAAAAAAATGTTCATGCTAACGAGTAATGTAACCACAAGTTAAAAGTTCTTATATTTACAACTTTAAATTATGGCATCAAATTTGTGTTTTTTTTTCTTCCATTGTTTTTTTTCCTGTTTTAGAACAGGAAAATAATTAATTAAGATTTATAATCATTCAAATAATTAATGATGGTACAGATTGTAATTTTTTTTTAAATATCTTGAATAGTGACTTCCATTAGTATAATAAGAGATAGTAAAATGATGAAATTCAGAATAATCATCCCTTTTACCATACAGTGGTAGAGCTAGGAATTAAAATGAAGGGCAACACAATAATATGATTCCAAATTTCCAACTCCAAAAATACATCACATTTCATTAGAAATTGATGTCCAGTGACTTAAAATGCACAAATGAAAAACATTATTATTGATACAAAAAAAATGCAATTAAACCTCAATAAATTAATATCTTTAGGACCATGAAAATTTATTAATTAATCGATATATTATTTAATTAAATTATTAATTTATTGAGGCATTATTTATTTTCTTTTTCAAAAACATTGAACTTAATACATATACATATTGTGTATTGTTAATGTGGTATAAGGAATAGTTATTCAAAATAACATCATCAATGGGGCGGATTTTCCCTGAATCGTTCGGGCTTTGGGCCTGGATCGGGCCCAAGATTGGCCCCAGAATTTGGGAACAGGCCGGGGCTGGGATTGGTTTTGCCCCGACCTCGAATTCCCGGGC